ATGGGGGTTTCACTGCCTCTGCCTCCACTACTATCAGGTAGAACCTAGCTGTGGCTCCCACTGCCGCAGCCCCAGAGCCTCAGCTGAAATCATGAGATGGCCAGGGAGGTAATACAGGTTCCTTGGCAGGACAAGGCTGCTGCCTTTAAAGAAAGGATCAGGGAGGGTGAAAGCAGGAAAACGAAGTGTTCACAGGCTAAAAAATTGTGTTTAAGACACCTAACAGATTTATCCCTTCTTGTATTTCTCCATGAGGCATTATAGCTTTTGATGGATATTTTTTTGCCAGTGGTTTACAAAGGTGCTTTGTGACCCACATGGTGGGTGAAAGCTCCTGTCAGGCTTTCTAGATGTTTCTGCTAACACAGTTTAGCAGATGAACAGCATGACCTACATCTTTCCTGTCCATGTTCTTCCAGTGCTCTTGAAGAAGCTTCAGGTCTAGATGGCATTGCAGGTGTCTCCCTTCCCTCAATATCTTTCAATTTAAACAGTTCGAACAGCTCAGATTCCTTACTAAACATCTAACAGAGCAATGAAGTTGTTTATATCCACCTTGAAGCTGTTTTGTTAACATGCAATACACCTGAGACAGTTCCCTGCCCAAAGTCTTTGTGTTGCAGGGAAGCCAAGTGAGTTTTGGTTCTCAATAAAACCGGAAATTCTTGGAACAAGTTATTCCATTTGGACTTTCAGTGAACCTCCATAATTTCTGTTTTCCTTTAAAAGATCTATTGCTGGTTCTGCAGGCACTGTTATTCTGTAATATCAAAGTGGTTTATTGATCCTTTCTTTAGTGTTAGAATTACTGAATATGCAAAGCAAGGAAATAGAATAAGTCAGTGGATGGTGGATTAAGGAAATGTACCAGGAAAGAGAGTATTTGGTGGCCACTTGGTGAGCCAGCTGTGGCATGGGTGTCCCCTCTTGGTCCACAGACCAAGACTTTTCCCCTTGTAAAATCCCCCAAATCTCAGAATACACTGCACTTTCAGAGCCTGTTTGGAAGTTTGTCTTTGCCAGCACAAGTGCATGAAACATTGCCTTTGGAAAACAATTGGGACCTTTTGACGTGTGAGTTGTCAAGGAGGTTAACTCAGTTGCATTTCCCAGGGAATACTCTTTCATTTTCTCCATGATTTAAAAGATAGTTTGAAAGTAAAGGAAATGAGAGAGTAACGGGGGGTATTACAAGGCTGTTGATTTCCCTAGACAAGTTTGTGGTAATTTCCTAGGAAATTTACATTGTTTTTAAAATAAACATCATGGAAAACACAACATTGGAGGAACAGAAAATCCTGCAGTTCTGCCACCATATCACCTCAGGACCACTGTTTTCTTCATTCAGTAACAAGTTAAAGCTGACATACAACAAGGAGAAGGAAATTATGGACCATTTTTTGAAGAGAGGTGTGCTCAGGTTAGTTTCTCACCCATTAAGAAAAGCTCAGTTCTGTACCCAAAGAAAGCAGCTCTCAGCCCTTGTCCTGAGGCTCTTGCTGCATCCAGAGATGCTGCATTGTGCCTGCTTGTGGCTTCTCGCTTGTGAAACACCACTAATGAGAGCAATTTGCAATTATTTCTGGTTGCCCTTGGGATTTTCATGAAGGTTTGTAATTTTCCTGTGGCACTTTTCCCTAACCCCATTTCATTTCGTTTCCAAGACTGTCCTGGAGAGCTCAGTGTCACTGGACTAGACTTTGGTTTTTAAAATGTCCTCTGGGTTTGGTGAGAAGTGAAGATGTGTCTTCAGAATGACCTTTGTTAGGACAAGTGCCCCATAACTTGTCAATTTAGAGCACACGTGGTCAGCCTTGTACTCCTCCATCAGTGGGAATGTGGGGTCACATCTGCCATTTGAGACCATTTTTTTGCAAGCCCAGGAAAAGTTATCACCCACCTTCCCATCCTGGGGTTGAAAAGTTGCAGCTACATAAACATCTGTGTAAAAAATCCACCTGCATTAATCTTAGCCCAAGGTGGCTCTGTCCTCTGACCAGGCAGACACCCTTGGCAGGCAGTTCCACAGGTACTGCAGGGGAAGCTTAAGTGAGGAAAATAACTGTACACACCAGCATGTGCAAATGGTTGCTTTGAAAGCAAGTCAGCCTTACCTCTGCCAGGTTAAATGAACAGCCTGTTTTTCTGCCAGGAGATCTTGTTCCCTTACATCAAAGACAACGTGAAGGAGTATCTGCGTGCTCACTGGGAGGAGGAGGAGTGCCAGCGGGATGTTGGACTTCTGAGGAAACAGGTTAAGTAACAGTGCCACACCGTGTCTTTCTGGATTTTCACAGCATGCCTGAAGCTTCAGGTCACTCAGACTCCCCCAGTCACCCAACATGAGCCATGTGTCTCTGCCCACCCTCCCTCCTGCCACAGGCTGCTGCCTCGATGGTCAGATTCTCCCCCACCCCAAACCTGGGGTTGTGCTCAGGGAAAAGCTTACCTTGGTCTTCAGCCACCCTGAGCAGGTGTTGAACCATGACTTTTCAGCTTTTTGCCTGCACTATGCCTTTCTCTTTTTGAATCCACACCTCTTTGGGAGGCAGTGTACTTTTGGGGAGGCATTTTGGAAGGAAGGGAAAAGGCATCTGGAAGGGGTTTGTGCTGGTATAACCAGCAGTTGCTGCAGTCCAGGGCTGGCATGGACATACAAACGTTCTGGACCATCCTGGTCACCCAAGAGCTTGGAGAGGAGCTGGAGGCCAGGATGGGACAAGGTGTTTCTGAGACTGATTTCCTGTTCTTCATAAAGGGAGGGGGAGGAGTTGGGATGCAAAAGGGCTGCAGTTTATGTAGAGAACCTGCTTGGGCAGAGCAGCAGAAATGGGTCCTTATGGGAAGGACTAGAAATAGTTCTCTGAGCCCAGACAGCACATGGTATGGCAGGGAGAGCAGTTCTGGGCTCCCACTTGATGTCATGCACAGGGTAACATATCCTGCCTCAGTACAGGGACACAGCATCAATCTGAGACCTGTGGCTGAAGCCAACAGATGCATTTGCTTTGCCTTAATTTCAGTAATTAAATACTTAAGCAAATAGAATTCTCATTAGAGTGTTTGCAATGCAGCTACAATAATGCTAATTGTTTGGTTTGGATGGTACAATCCAAGCAAGTGTTTCTAAACACTACTAGAGTCTGGATTTCCCTTTGAGAAAAGCATCCAAACAATGTTGTGGCCCCTCATGTGAAGAGCAGTTCGAACTGTGTCCTGCACAGAGTTGCATGGATACAGGTGTTAGACCACTTTACTAAATTAGAGATGTTGAAACCACTCCACCTCTTCCCTCTTTTTGTCATGGATGATTTCCAGGCTCAGGAGGATTCCAGCTTGGACGGGGCTGTGCCGATCCCTTTGGAGAGTGGAAGTGGGGAAGAAGAGCTGGAGCGCGTCATCCAGGCCGTTGTAGACAATGTGCACTGGCAGATGTCCCTGGACAGGAAGACCACAGCACTGAAGCAGCTGCAGGGCCACATGTGGAGGGCAGCCTATGCAACTGGGCACGTCAAAGGAGAGTGAGTAATTGTGTGAGTAATTTGTAGAATCATCAAGGTTGGGAGAGACCTTTAAGATCATCCAGTCCAACCATCCACCCAGCACTGCCACTGTAACCCCTAAACCATATCAACCAGCACCAGGTCCAGGTGCCTCTTAAACACTTCCAGGGATGGTGACTCCACCACCTCTGTGAGCAATATTCCAGTGCCTGACCACCCTAAAAGTGGAAAAAAAATTCTGATACCTGGGCTGGCTCTCCCCTGTCTTACTCCAAGGTCATTCCCTCTAGTCCTCTCCCTGCAGGCATGTCAGGAGAGACCATCCCTCACCTCTCTACAGCCTCCTTTCAGGTAGTTGTAGAGAGTGATGAGGTCACCTCTGAGCCTCTTCTCGAGACTGAACAAACCCAACTCCCTCAGCCCTTCCTGATAGGATGTATTCTAAGCACTTCATGAGCCTCGTTGCCCTTGGCTGGACTCGCTCCAGTGCCTCAATGTCCTTTTTGCAGTGAGGGGTCCAAAACTGAACACAGCACTGAGGTGTGACCTCACCAATACTGAGTACAGGGGGATGATCACTGCCATAGTCCTGCTGCCACACTCTTCTTGATAACAGCCAAGATGCCTTTGGCCTTCTTGCCCACCTGTGCACACTGTTGGCTCATATTGAGCCGCTGTCACCATCACTCCCAAGTCCCTTTCTGCCAAACAACTCTCACGCCACTCCTCCCCCAGCCTGTAGCATTGCTGGGGTTGTTGTGTCCCAAGTGCAGGACCAGCACTGAGCCTTATTGAGCCTCATGCAGTTGTCCTCAGTTCAGTGATCAAGTCACTCCAGGTCTCTCTGTAGAGCCTTCCTACCCTTGACTGCTGCTTGTGTGCCCCTTCCTGTGGGGCAGGTGTGGGGTCCATCTTTCCTAGATGTTTGTTAGCAAAATAGCTACATAAGCTGTTCCTGGGAACAGCCCCAGTACAAATGCAAAAGACAATACATTTATGTTCAGGCATGGATTAAGCTAGGTCACTGCTGCTGTGGAACCAGCTGCAGACACTTCATTTCAGTCTTGATCATGCAGTGAAACACAAATCCATTGAGCTTAGTCTTTGGGTCTAGGCAACCAAGAGCTGACACTAGGCTCGGGACTGACTAAGTTGTCTCAGTTCCCACTGGGAAATGCAAGTGGTATGAGGGTGTTAAGGAATAATGGGCAGGTGTGTGCTGGAGAACATCCAGGTGCCTCTGGGTTTGCTTTTCCCTGTTGGCCTGTTTTGCTCCAGACTCTTCGAGGACGTGGTTCCAGCCATCCGGAAGTGGCGGGAAGCAGGGATGAAGATCTATATCTACTCTTCAGGCAGCATTGAAGCCCAGAAGCTTCTGTTTGGATATTCTACAGAAGGTGATATCCTAGAGGTAGATAACCTTATCACCTTCCTTACATCTTCTCCCTCTGCAGAGCAGTCCTCTCCCACAACTGCCCTCACTAATGCTTTGTGAATGAAGTCTGGGACAGGAAGATGAGGCAGTGGGTTTGATCCTCAGGAGTAAAGCTCAACCAGTTGACTGTGCTACATCAGCACCTTGCTACTGTGGTGGAAAGGAGAGGGGACAGCTTGCTCAGGAGTGAGGTTAGCCCAGCTCTTCAGGTGGCACTCAGCAGTGGACTGTGCTTCTCTCTCTCTTTCAGCTCTTTGATGGCCATTTTGATACCAAAATAGGCCCCAAGGTAGAAAGTGAGAGCTACAGAAGGATTGCTGCCAGCATTGGGTGTGCCACCAACAACATCCTCTTCCTGACAGATGTCCCTCGAGGTAGGTGGCCTGCCAGTCCTACTGGCTCTCACCTGTGCAGAGGAGGCAGGTGCTCTTGGAACGTGGGCTGCACACTTGTCACAAGCACCCCAGAAATGCTGCAGATCACTTTGCTTCAGCACCTTCCCTCTAGCTGCTGTCATCCTCCCTGACACTCCCTTGCACACAGCAGTGATGTCGATGAGCAGCGCTGCAATAAGGCAAAATAGGTCAAGTAGAAAACCTGCCTTTGCACCAGCAAGCAAGGAGAGACTGTTAAAGCAGAGTGGAGCATTTGCTGAAGCAGTTGGTATGACCCATTTACAAACAGGGTCAGTGGTTTGACCTGTGCTCAGGGGAACTAGTGATGTTTCTGCTGCCACATGGCACATGCACCCCAGACCAGTTCTTTGTGTCACTTGTGGTTAGCAGCAGGAAAACATTGAGATACCACCCCTGGAAAGCCAGGCTTGGGAAACTAATTTCACTCCCTGCCTTTGTTGGAAACATCTTTCTGGCAGAAACGGCACTGGGTTATAATCCCAGGAGTTAATCCTCCTCCCCAGCCCTGGCAGCAGAGCCCGTGGAAGCTTGTAGTTACCTGCTTTCCCTTGGGTCATCTTCCTGTGGCCTCGTGCGCTCAGGGAACAAAAGAATCTTGTGAGAAATGATTGAGCAAGGGACTGTTTGGCTCACTAATGCCTCAGCCTGACCACAGCCCAGCCTCCCCATGACAGGAATGGAGCTGATGGTGCGTGCTGCCTGCGAGGTGCCTTGGACAGCCATCAGCTGGGGGAGGGGAGGGGATGGCAAGGCAGCCAGCTCCTGTCCACTCTCATTACATGGCAACCACAGCCATCCACAGCAGCTCTGCCAGGATCTGGTTCCTCTCTAGAGCCCTCAGTGCCACATGCAAGCTCTGCTGTCTCAGCCTCAACCTTTAAAAGCACTTCAGTGTTTTGGTGTGAAGAGGTGGGTAAGCAGATCTCATCTCCCCTCTCCCCACCTCTGTTTGTTTCAGAAGCCAATGCAGCCGAGGAAGCAGATACTCACGTGGCTGTGGTGATCAGACCAGGCAATGCAGGACTGACAGATGATGAGAAATCGTATTACAGCCTCATCTCATCTTTCACCGAACTTTTCCTGCCTTCCTCCACTTAGGGAAAGTGGTGCACGCACAACAGACTGTGCTTCACCTGAATTGTCCTCGTCAAACGTTAGGTAATTTTGTCCATAATCAGAATTTGAAACCAAATCCACATCATGTCTTGGACCCACAACTAGTGCAGGCAGGTATGGATGGAGAGAATGGTGTGGGGTCCCTTGTGCAGCAGGACAGAGACCTGCTGCCAGCTGGAGCTGGGAACAGGGTGAGGAGCAGCACCCATGAGCCTTGCTGTTCCTCCCCTTTCCTGGCTAGCAGTTAGCTAAGGGGATGCATCCTTCAGACTCACCCACTGGAATCTGGTGCTAAGATGCCCCACCACAAGCTCCATCATTTTCAGAAGCAGTCTGCAAACAAGGTTTATGTCCCTTTGTCCCAGAGGCACCTCTGGGGACCGTGAGGGGATATGAGCTTCTCCCTGCAGACAAGGTTGCTGGCTAAGTCAAACCTTTCAAAGTTAGGATTCCCCAAGGAAAATGCCAGTTGTGGGCTATAATACAGCCAGTTTGGGCTGACACAAAGAGCCTGTCCTTGCTGCAGCAAGCTGTTTAGACAAGGAACAACATAAATCTTGGCTATATCCTCAGCAGGTCTAGGTACAAAACAGTACAACTTGCATACACAGCCTACCAGAGTGAAGTAGAGTGCATGTAAATACAGCTTTAAAAGTTAAATTCTGGGCACACTTCACTGCTGCACTGTGGTGGGACACTACACTATGGGCGACAACTGGCTGAATGCCAAAGTCAGCTTGACTGTGTTTCTGAAGTATCTCAGCACTAACCTATGGAGCTCCTCCTCAGTAGCCAACATCACCCAGTCACACCTTCACAGCACTGGTGACTGTGAGCAAACCTTGTCAAACTGCTCCTGAGGGGGACATCCTGCTGCATTGAATGACAATTAAACCCCTGACCTTTTCACCCTACCTAAACTGTGCCAACGTATATCAGGTGGTCATGGCACTTTTCCTAACGTAGTAAATAAAAACACAACTTTGCTTTCATTGTGTTCACTCCCTCACAGTATTTAGCTTTCCTGTCTGTCACCAGTGATCCCAGCACCTAAAGGCAAATTAGTTTTTATTTTTTAGACCTGTGAACACTTCGTTTTCCTGCTTTCACCCTCCCTGATCCTTTCTTTAAAGGCAGCAGCCTTGTCCTGCCAAGGAACCTGTATTACCTCCCTGGCCATCTCATGATTTCAGCTGAGGCTCTGGGGCTGCAGCAGTGGGAGCCACAGCTAGGTTCTACCTGATAGTAGTGGAGGCAGAGGCAGTGAAATCCCCATTCATTCCGGCACTTTGTGCATGGGTGTCACTTGCTGTGTACTCACTTCTGTGTTCTGCACTTCGTGGACAGCCCAAACACAATCCTAACGTGCATGCTGCTGTCCTGAGCTCTGATCTGCATCTACAGCTGTCCCTGGGGAGGGAGGCTGCTGTGCAAAGAGCAAGGATGGGCATTTGAGGAGGAAATCACATCATGCCAGCACTGCCCTTCTAAAACCTCCATAGTATCAGGTCAAGCTGTGGAGCAGCTAGTCTGGATGCCTTTCTGGGCTATGGAATGAGTGTGATCCTGCTCCTAGAAAGAGCTGCTAATTAGCACTGTTACAATAAGTGTATCTGCATGGCTGAATAGTCCCTGGATTCCTTAAGTGATAACATTAATCATTACACTGTAAACACTCACCTTTTGTTTTGCCTTTGCCATCAGAAAGCTATGCTTGGAGCAGGGGACAAAAATAAAGCTCACTTTCTCCATAAAAGCACTTTATTAGTGGTCATGTTTCAGAGTATATCAGTTGTCATTTAGTTGTACTGAAATGTGCTGTTAGAAATACTCTAAGAAATGTACAGTTGTCACTAAAAACCTGAAGTTCACTTTGGATTGCATATAGGAAAAGGAGAAAAAGGGGAAGAAAATAATCACATTTTTTTCCTTTGATAAAATTACAAAATATAAAATGATAAACTGAAAGTATTAATTGCTTGGGGAGGGGAAAAGTCACAGTAGACTATATACAGTAAAACACCCTTAAAAGAAATTGCTATTTTGTGCTCCATATGGATTGGGTGTGCAAACCTGTGTAAGAGGATCCTCACCTGTGTGTTCTCCAGGCTGTCCCCCCCCCGTTCTCACCCAGGAGGAGCTCCCTAGATATGCTGCTGTGTCCTTGGGCCACCTTCAGCCCAGTGCAGCTTTCCACTAATGACACTGCTCTGAGGAGGAAGCCTTCAGCAATCCACAACAACCCTCTGTTGGCTGGAAATGCACTAGATTTGTAACAGCTGCCGAGAACAAACGTTGGTGCACAGAAGATAAAGGACTGGCTGAAAGCTTTCTGCTTACACCAGTTTGTCTCAACTGTTTCTTCTCTCAGGAGAGGACTGTGACCTTTGCAGAAGACTGAATGCCCTTGTACATTTTCCACTTCTGTCAGGAAAGCCACAGAGCAGTACGAGTTCCATTTCAAATGTCTTTTCCTACCATTTTAATTTCCGCTTATTTTCCTGCAGCTCAGACAAGATGCAAACCTAAGCTGAGCCTGATTTGTGGAGGAAAACAGGAGTTATATTCATGAGAAGCAACTCCCATCATGCATTCCCCTGCCCAGCCAATACAGCAGCCTTCCTAAAATCAGGTTTTCAAACAGGGGCTTTGAGCTTCTGCTTTTTCTTTGAAAACAGACCTTCTGTTTGAAAACCTTCTTTTTACAGAGGGAGAAGCCCTGCTGGTTTTCCTGTTCCCTTCTTGAACCTCCAGCCCTCAGGCCACATCCAGGGCAGAACTGCCTCCCTGCACCTTGGAAGCTCACTGAAATCTGTGGACAACTGACCACACTGAGGGGCTCAAAGCCCAGGCCTAGGGTCAGCAAGTCTGAAGTTTGACTTGTAAGTGCACAGGGAGCAAAACCAAACCCTGTACCCAGAACCACTTGCAATGGTGGTGTTCTCTTTGCAAACGAGCCTGGTGTCTCTAAGACAATTTTTCCCCCTCAGTGAACAAAAAAGAAAAAGCTTTTTAAATACTATACACAATAGGTGGCAGAAGCACTACACACTTAGGAAGAGCAGCCTTTTCTGGGTTATCTTCAGAGCACACAGGCATTCTCATCTTCATTCAGTACCTCACTTCCACCAGTCCCCATCACTGAGTCTGAACCAGGAAGCCAAGCACAGCACCCAGTGTGTCATTTTCTCTGACCTGGGGATGATCTGCCCAGCTACAAAGCAGCATTGGCCAAGTCTCACTTCCTGAGTCTTCCAAACTCAGATTTACCATCGGCTGCTTTCCAGGCTGGAAGTGATGCTTGCTTGCTTGCCATAAAAACCAGTCAGTTGAGGTCGTCCACTGTCTGATTCCATGTTCTGAAGAAACAGCTGCTCTTTCTCACCCTACCAAGTCACCCCAGTTGGCAGCAAGGAAAACAATGTGAGAAACACACAAGAGTTGCAGTCTGGTGACTCGGGAACTGGCAGCTCCTGAAGACTCTTGGTGCCTGAAGAAGTCTGCTTCCTTCACCTCCTTCTCTGCAGAGCAGGCTGAGGAGGACCTGTCTCAGAGGGACATCACAAGGACTGGCTGCTGGATGTTTTGAACAACAGGAGTGTGACAGAGCCACTCAGAAAGAGTCACTGGCAGCACAAACTAAACAGCTTGTGCTCTCTCATGTTGCCGCTGAGGAGGATCCACTCCTCTTCCAGCAGACACCTACTTTTGTTTGGCTCTTAATGAGACAGCCACCCTCAGAGCCCTTTGGCAATATGATCATGATTGCACATGAAAACAAACCCATCTAAAAAGTGTAAATGAGGTCATGTTTAACCCATGAGACCACACCTGCCCCCCTCCCCCCCTGCCAGAGGACAGGCTACACCTGATCTGTCTGGTACTCAGAGGCTTCTGATAAGCTTTCAGAAAAGCTCAGGAAGTTTTCCTGGTACTCAGAGCAAATGATCTCAAATCTGTAATGCCTGAACTCCACTGCAAATGTGCCAAAGTAGCACAGGAAGCACATCACCAGGCCCCACTGGATCCTGGAAGCATACATGTGAATGCCCTGTGCCATGAGGATGAAATCTGGAAGAGGAAAGTCAAGGAGAACTAATGGGAGCAGAGAGACTGGCCAGTATGAGAGAAAGCCAATAGGGAAGACTATCTTAACAATCAAAGTCACCCGGGTGACAGTCAACCCAACCAGGCATCATGAGGAGAGTTTGAATGTGATGCCAGAGATGAAAGGGATGTCAGGTGATGGTCATGGAGCACAGCAGCTCTCCTATACAGACCAGGCCTTCCTGATTGCAGATCAGGCTGATAAACATTTACAGAGGGAAAGACTTGGGTGCAGGGAAGTCAATGACTTGCTTGAGCATCCTACTAGCCAGGAACAGAGGAGGCTGGGGATCTGGCTGTGAGCTCCTACCTGCCAGGAGCCTCCCAGTGGGACCTGGATCAGATCTCTGCGTCACAGGCAGTGGGAACACCTTTCATCCTACACTGTGAAATCTCTTTAGATCACCTGCAAAACTGCCCCAGTCTGTGAAATCTGTAAGCATCAGTCGACACAGTATGGCATGGTATACTGAAAGAAAAAAGAACACTCAGGGCCAGAAACTCCTTCAGGCTCATGTGCTTAGAGTGCATGTTGCCTGGCACCAGGGTCTCACTGCCGTGCCTCAGGCTGTGTTGCAGTACTTCATAAAAGCATTTCTCATCTTCCCTAAAGCAGAGGACACCTTCCTGAGCTGAGGACCTGCCCTAGCCCAATCCAGCCCAATCCACACCTCCTCTAAACCTCCTGGCTCTTGTCTCTCCCAGGATTTTCTCTGCACTCCAAGCATGTAGGTTCACATATCTTCACAGGTAAAACAAACAAACAACAAGCAGCCTCTGCCATGCTTTAACTGCACAAAAACAGGTAATCAGAGACTTTTCATCTTGGGCTTGGGGTAAGCAACAAAAGCTTCATTTCAGCAAACAGCATTTTGTGTCTGGCTTTAAGGATCTCCTACTTCCCCTGTAGTGAAAGGCTTATACACAAACTGCATGAGATGGAGCCCCAGGGTTTTGCAAAGTTGGCAGTGTGTCTGCACAGAAGCAGCTATTCCGTGGCTACTCCTGCTCCCAGCTAAGAACCTTCTGAAGATGTCAGTACAGCAGGAGATTCCCACATGCAGCCCTACCCCAGTCATGCTGGGGGAGCTATGGGCTTGAGGCAACGAGAGGACAGGAACACCACAAGAACCAGGCAAACTCCCACATTATGTACACCGAAGCTCAGCTACCAGTTTTTTCAAGGAAGCTTAAGAGGTGACTGATGTTACACCTTCACCCCAATCTGCTATTCCTCTGGACACTGGTTCAAACATTCAAAACCAGGCAAGTGACAGGAATTATTTTAAAAACAGGCTGTTGCCCAAAGAAGGGGATAAGCTTATTCCTCACCATTTATTCCTGCTCTTCTTGTTTAACCCAGCACTAATGCTCATCATAGAATCATAGAATTTTAGGAACTGGAATGTACTTTACAGATCATCTAGTCCCAATCCCCAACTGCCATGGGCCTAAATTTCCCCGCCTTCAATTTGAACCCTTTGCCCCTTGTCCTGTCACTGCAGTTCCTAACACAGGTTGATGCAACCATGCAATGACTGGATCCATCCTAAACAAACACCCAGGGCACATGAGTGCTGGTATGAACAAAAGGACTAGAGTGGGGCTGACAGGCACAAGGTGGAGAGGAAGTCACATGCAACCTGAGTGAGCACAGACCCCACAGACCAAATCCCATTTGTAAATCACCTAGTTTTAACCCAAGGTCCTCACAACCCAGCAGCTCCTGACTGTGATAACTGTTTTAAAAGGTAGTGCTGGATATAACACTCTGGAACATTTCAACAAACACATCAAAATCTTCTCATCTTCAGAAACCTGATTTCTCCCTTTATTCCTTTGTTCTCATGACAATTTTATCTCAATATTTTGCATAGTCTTAAATGCTACTGTGTAGGCAAGAGTAGTGCCATTAAACCACACAGATACTATTCAGTGTTTTAACCACTTTGGATATCACTAACTAAGAAGTTTTCAAAACATTTATGAAGGAAATATATTATGGGCAGAAGATCTCCCCATATGTACTATGGAAGTATGCAAGTGCAAATCCTGCTGGAAATATGTGAAAAATGACCATGGCCCTTCATCTCAGGATGCCACTGGGACTAGTGACAGATAAAGGTGGAAGAGCAGGTACAGTGAGGGCTAGGGTACAGCCAGACACGTTATCTCCTGAGCTCACATCACAAAAACCTAAGCAATCTGCTAGAAAAAATATATTTATGGGCTTAGTGAGCCTACCTGTGAAGCTGTGCATCCTGGTAAAACACAGGTAGCAAAAAGCCATGAAGACAAACTGAGTAGGATTCCTAACTGAGTAGGATTTCTAAACGCTTTGAGATCCTGGGGCAGATGTGAGAAGTGGCAATGTTCCCTGCTGCAGGAAGTGCTGGATATATATAATATCTGGTTACCCAGGGAGCAGGACAAAAGGATACAGAGCACCACGCAGAGGGTGATGCTGGCTGACAGAGCCACTCGTGGAATCCCAGCTCTCCGCCCTTCATTCTTCAGGTTGATCTTGAGGGTAAGAGCAGACTGGATCCAGCATGCCAAGGTCCCAAAGCCAAAGGTCAGCGACGTGCCCACATTGTGGATCTCCTCATCGTTGGAAAGCTAGAAACAAACAAAACATTGATTGTTTGGACACAACAGGAATTACTTAATAGCTAGTTGAATTGCTGCTGGGGTGGGATAGGGAAGAGTGGGAATCACTGGGGTGTGAGACAGAGATTCTGTATCATTTTTTCTGGCAGAGGTGTAAGGTGTAACATAACCAAGATGAGTTGACAGCTAACACAGTCGAGCAGATCTTCTGCCCAAAGCCCAAGCGAGTGGAAAATGCAGTTGCTTGGGGACTGCCCCCACAGCTCCCTGACAACACTCACAAATGAAGAGCTCAGAAATAAATCCCTCCCTGTCTCGAAGCAATGGGAATGACAGGCAACAACAACCCACTGGGTCTTCATAGAATCATAGAATTTTAGGGGTTGGAATGGACCTTAGAGATCATCTAGTCCCAACCCCCTGCCCTGGGCAGGGACACCTCCCACCACAGCAGGTTGCTCAAGGCTCATCCAACCTGGCTGTGAACACTGCCAGGGTTGGGACAGTCACAGCCTCCCTGGGCAACCTGTGCCAGTGTCTCACCACCCTCATGGCAAAAAACATTTTCCCTAGTATCTAACCTAAATTTCCTCTCTTTCAATTTGTACCCATTGCCCCTTGTCCTGTCCCTGCAGCTCCTAACACAGATCCCTCTCCAGCTTCCCTGGAGCCCCTTCAGCTCCTGGAAGGTGCTCTGAGGTCTCCACACAACCTTCTCTTCTCCAGGCTGAACAGCCCCAGCTTCCTCAGCCTGTCTTCATAGGGGAGATGCTCCAGTCCTCTTAAGTCTTGTACAGCTCCCTGCAATGGATGGAAATTGTGCGACCTTCAGTGCGACCTAGCTGCATGCACCAGTGCTGCCTGGGGCAGTGTGTAGCCAGAGCCCTGACACCTCTGTCGAGCCAGCCCAAGCCAAAACACAAACACATGCTCCTGTTTGGAAAGTTTCTCCAACAAATTCCCTCTCCTGCCCATCCTTGCCCATTGGAGCCTGAGGCAATATGAAACCAATCTCTGCAGTGCAAGTCTTTGTTCCTTGGGCTGCTCTATCTCACAGGGCTCAGTGACTGTGCAATACTGCAAGGCAAAAAGACAGGTTCAATAAGCAAGAATCTGCAGAGAGATCCCTCGAGGCTGCAAATCCATTCAGAAAGTTAAGCATGGACAAGACTTAAGCCAAACAATTTCCCTTTTCCCTCTGCCTCTAAGGCTTTTCTAGAAAAGAAACCATCACTCTGTTATTTCCTCCCTGCAGCCTTGATTCCTGTTCAGTGATTTAACAAGTCCCCATCAAATAACACACAACCTACAGGATAACAATATAGTTGCTGTGCCTCCACTGGTCTCTCACCTCTCCTCTCTACCTTGAGTGTTTTTCCAAGGGTCGGTCCAAGGTGGGATTGAGTTGCCTTTCCCAAGGCCTGCACTGCAAGGGACTCACAGCAATAATGTCCCTCTAAAACATCCAATCTGTAACTTTCCAGAAATAGGATTTAATGACACATTCAGATTAGCAGTCAGGCAGGGAAAAACATGGACTAAGGTCTTGTTACTATATGCTTTCATGTTTGGCAAACCATCTAAGTGAGGATACAGGTAACTAACAAGGAGTGGATAATTAGCTCAGAATTTATAACCAGGCATGATTCAAAGTATCCACTGGTAAATTAATTTGCTCTGAGGAGTAAAAAAAGGAAGGCGAGGTTGAAACTGTTTCCTAGTGCCTGACTTGTACTAGAAATACTCTTCTCACAGGCAGACAAGGCTATTACAAAGGCTTCATAATTCCTAGCTGGGAAGCTCTGGTGAAAAAAACAAGCCTCCAGGATTTGGGCTTGTGGAGTTAGGAAGAGCAGGTCCATAAAAGTCAATTTATCTCACACATCACTCAAAAAGAAAAAAAAATGAGTCAGCTGTAAAGGGCACAAAGTTCCTGCAATTACTCTAGAACCCAGACATTCACCCTCCACAAAACAAGAACCTTCTCTGTATTGGCTCTCTATCTGCAAAGCCAGGGAAATCACCAGTCTACACTGACCTTTCTCAGTTCCTGCCATTATTGGGAGTCATTACTTGCACCCCAGTGAGAGGCAGAGCATCAGGGTCAGCAAAGGGACGGGGAAACCCAAGTGCCTTGATTTTCACTGCCAACCTAACAGACCACACCCGTGAACAGTGGACATCCATCCCTACAGATGTGGCAGATGTTTGGTTTCATAACACTGCAGAACAGATTGAGAACTCATCCAGGCACCCATCACATCAGATGTTGTGGCACTCCTCTGCTGCATCCCTCTCCTGGCAGGTCTGAGGGTCAGCAGGAGGCAGATTCAAAGCAAAATGTTTTGAATGAAGGACAATGAACAGTCTGCTAAATCTGCATGAGCAGCTGTGCATCTGTTTGCACAGATGTGTGTGTAAACTTCATGCTCAATCCTTCTATCCAGGACCATCTGTGCCAGCTCCCAGGGCTCAAGAGATTCAATAGGTTCCCGCTGTGGCTCTTGGCAGGTCAAGTGTAAGTATGCAAGTGCAAATCCTGCTGGAAATATGTGAAAAATTACTCTGGTCCTTCATCCCTGCCCCTTGGACAAGGGGCAATGGGTACAAATTGCAAGGGGAAATTTAGGTTAGATATTAGGAAAAAGCTCAGTCCTGTGAGGGTGGTGAGACACTGGCGCAGGTTGCCCAGGGAGGCTGTGGCTGCCCCAACCCTGGCAGTGTTCACAGCCAGGTTGGATGAAGCCTTGACCAACCTGCTCTGGTGGGAGGTGTCCCTGTACATGGCAGAGGGTTGGGACTAGATGATCTATAAAGTCCATTCCAACCCTTAAAAATTCTATAATTCTATGATCTCAGGATGCCACTGGAGCCATGTAAGTGGCAGATAGAGGTGGCAGAGCAGGTATAAGGAGGGCTGGGGCACAGACAGACACGTTATCTCCTGAGCTGACATCACAAAGACCTAAGCAATCTGCTAGAAGAGCAGGAAACTCACATGACAAACAGAATAGTCCAAGCCTGCAATGCAGTACCTGAAAGTTGCCGAGCAGGGTCATCCCAAAAGAGGCCAAGCACAATGCCACCAAGCCACTGACGTTCAGCCAAGGGTTTAGCACCTTTGGCTTCAGCTGAATGAAGCGCAGGACAGCCACCACAAGTGCTGAGAAGGAAACAGAATGCAAGGGGTGTCATTAGGTAGAACCTGCTGCAGTAAAAACCTGACTGGGGGCTCACAGACTCCACCTCCTCCTCTTTCTATCCAGAGGGAGGAGTTCACTGCAGGCCAAGCTTAGTGTTCCTGTATGGTTCCCTCCCACTTAGTTGGAGACGAGACTAAACACAGGAAGCATTTCTCTTGTAATCCAGTTATACCAAGCTCCATGCTTCCTTTTCCCATGATGTTTTGCTTAGGGGTTGGGTTGCAAATCTTCTGGGGGAAAGAACACCTTCCTGTTTGCCTGTGAAGCTCCCAGTATGTAGGCTATCACATACAGAACATGCATTCACCTTGTGGCTGCTGGGCTTTCGTTGTTCCACCCCACTCATGAGCACTGAGCTCTCCCCATTTATATTTGAGCCCAGTGTTACTCCATCCTAGGTGCAGGATCCAGATTTGGACTTGTTAAATTTCATCCCATTAATCGTTCCCCAATGCTCCAGTCTATCTAGATCCCTCTGGAAGGCATCTTGTTCCTCAAGAGAGTCAACAGCACCTCCCAGTTTGGTGTCACCAGCACACTTGCTGATGGTATCCATATAGTATTTCCTTCAGACCTTCTTTTGCTATTGACATGCTTACAAACACTCTTCTTGTTGTCCAAAACAACTCTGGCCAGTTTCAACTCTAACTGAGCTTTGACCTCTCCTGTCTTCTCCCTGCATGTACAAACCACAGCTCTTCAATCCTCCTGTGAAGTCTGATCTCATTTCCAGAGATCATACAATGGCATTTTCCTCTTGAGTGCCACAAGGAGTTCCCTGTTCAGCCAAGTTGGTCTTCTGCGTCTCTTCTTGACTGCAATCCCACACCATAGGATTGCCTGCTCCTATGCTTCTAAAAGGTGATCCTTAAAGACTGATCAGCAGAAACCACAGCTCTTCAATCCTCCTGTGAAGTCTGATCTCATTTCCAGAGATCATACAATGGCATTTTCCTCTTGAGTGCCACAAGGAGTTCCCTGTTCAGCCAAGTTGGTCTTCTGCGTCTCTTCTTGACTGCAATCCCACACCATAGGATTGCCTGCTCCTATGCTTCTAAAAGGTGATCCTTAAAGACTGATCAGCAGTTGTGGACTCCTAAGCCCTCAAAAGCAGATTGGTACTCTAACTTCTTGACTGCAATCCCACACCATAGGATTGCCTGCTCCTATGCTTCTAAAAGGTGATCCTTAAAGACTGATCAGCAGTTGTGGACTCCTAAGCCCTCAAAAGCAGATTCCCAAGGTACTCTAAGTAGCTCCCTGAATAGCTTAAAGTTTGCTTTCTTGAAATTAAGGGGAGCAATTCTGCTGTCCTTTTTTCTCATTACAGCAAAACTTCTAACCTCAACCATTTCATGATCACCATGGCCAAGACACTCACCTACCATCACATTTCCCATGACACATTTGCAATCTGCAGCTTATATTTCCCTCGTTCTTTTGTAGTTTTGCAATGGGAAGAAGCAGCAATGAAAGTGCACAGTTTAAAGGACTTCACACCATCACATTCAAGAACAAACATGTTTCTGTGACTCTTAAAACAGAGAGAAAGAAACACTCCACTCGTGGTTCCTACCTAGAAATGCCGCCATGTTCATGACTTGACTAAACACACAGCTTGCAGGAGGTGCATCACCTGCAATACTTGAAAATATAAAGTTTGTCATTGTAACTCTAAGAGACATGAAGAGCAGCCATTAATCAGAACAGCAATTGGAAGATAATAACTCACTTACCTTATATAAGGTGGTCTTTTGGAACCAGGTTTCCTAGAGACATAGGCATAGGAACAAAGATTCAAGGTTTTCTTTCCCATTTAGCTTTAATTGTTTTGTTATTTTAAAGAGACAAGTGATTGAACATAAAGCCCACAGCCAACTCTTACCTATCTGGTACATTTAGTGGGACAATTTTGTTATCTTCCACTGCTATAAAGTATCTGTAAAAAAAAAAAATTTACTTAAATAATGTAAAACCTCACCCTGGCTTCCATTCCAAATATCACTCAAACACATTAAATGTCTCAAAGCTCACTGGCAGGATCTGCTGGAGGCTGCCTGTGTTTCTCTCTGCTCAGACAGGCAGTTTTGCTAATTTCCCAGCCTAACTATGTGCCTTCCTTTGTGTTGCATCTGGTTTGCATGGTCAGGTAGACAAACAGGGTCACTGAACTGATCTGCCTTAAAAATAACCAGCCAGGGGAATGTTTTCATTTTCAATTCGAATCATTTGATTCATCAGGTTTACCATGGTCCTCCCTCCACAGAAGCTGTTTTAATACAGGGGGGATGGGACAAGAAGAACAACAAGCAATAGAGGTCAGACAAACAGCTTAAGCTGCCTCTGCTGCTGGAAAACAACATCCACACAGACCATGGGCGAAGCCACATCCTACAGTGTAACTGCATCTCAGGCTGAGCATAGCTGCTGATCATATATTTATTACTCCCAAATTTGTGCTGCAGTCATCCTCCTGCATGCTTGGAGAGAGCCCAGCTCAGGGAGATGCATGTCTTGGGTGCATTTTGGTACAGAGTGATAGTGATAAAATGAGGTGTCAGCACTAAGCTGCTGGCAGGTCATCAGTGCAGTGCTGGATGCTGCAGATTTTGAGTTTCCACCCCAAAGCAGAGCCTAAGTGTTTCTCCAAGCACTCTGCTGAGTCATTCAAAGAAAACAGGATTAAAGGGATTTTTTGCATCTTTGTCTATTACTTTTCAGGCAGCATCCAGTGACATGTGCCAGGAAGAAGGCAAGGTCAGAAATTTGGCCTGGGGAGCACAGAAACTCAGAGATAAAAGTGTGACTTCTTTTTTTAGGGGAAAAATGTGCATTTTTTTAGGAAAAAGCTTTTCCTGTGAGGGTGGTGAGACACTGGCACAGGTTGCCCAGGGAGGCTGGCAGTGTTCACAGCCAGGTTGGATGAAGCCTTGACCAACCTGCTCTGGTGGGAGGTGTCCCTGCCCAGGGCAGGGGGTTGGGACTGGATGATCTCTAAGGTCTATTCCAACCCCTAAAATTCTATGCTTCTATGATCCTCCAAGCCATGACCCAGCACAGACTGGCCCCTGCCCCTTATCATATGCCTTCCCACCCCAACAGTAACACAATGACAGAGCATCCCCACAAGACTCTCCATTCTGAGATGCAGCCCACACCATTCTGACTTCTGACTGCCCCAGCCTGACTTGCTCTCCCAAACAACCAGCAGGAGGTAACTTACACTATCCATAATCCAGCTGACGTAAACAGAGTAAAGACAAGAGGTAAAAACATCCACACACTGCATTTCTTCCCATCCATACCTGCTAGAAACAAAGAACAAAGTAAACAAAAAGACAGAGGGCAGAGGTACCCACCCAGCTTGTCCCACTCTTTTGAAAGCAGGAGGAGCATCCACACAGCAGGTGCCAAAGCATTATCCTAATGGCCAGGCAGCCAGCACTCCAAACCTTTCACACTGTCACTCCTGGCATAAGGGGTTACTCTGATGCACACAGGCAGCATCATCCATACCATGCATAAAAACCAAGGCACAAACAACCTGGAGTTGTGGAGGGGGAGAATTTTCAGAGACACTGATAGAATGTGAGTGATTTTCAAGGTATTTTTCTTAAGCATTTTTGCACGAGGTGACACCACAAGACCCACAGCCCTCATTCCCTACTACTTCCCATAGGCACAAGGCAAGGCAACCTCCTCCCTAGGATCATTACCAATTCCACACACACTGCCTCAGCAAAACCTGCAGCATGGAGAGAGGAGGATGCACGTGCTGTCTCCTCATCTCCACAAAGCACACGACCAGCTCCCATCCTGGCCATGGCAATCAGCTGAAAACTGTGTTCAGCCACACCAAGAGCAGAGCCAAGCTCTGTGCTGGCACTCAGAGCACTGTCAGGAGTCAGGATGAGGTGTTACAAACGGGATCAGCTCCTGACATATAGGCACTGTGAAATCCTGCATGTGGTGTAAGGATACGGCTTACACCAGCTCCTAAGGAAGCATCTGTCCTCCAAGCAGGATCAGGTTGCATGAGCATCTGGAATGCCAGGGCTGTTCCTGTGATATGTGCCGTTTAGAAACGCTGCTGTGTTGCTGTGCAGTGGACACAGAGGGTCCTATGTCTCCCTGTGAGTCCTTTAACAATGGAGCAACTATTTCTTCATGCTCTGTCCCCCTCCATAAATGCTCCTCCAGGCACCAGCACAGCCAAGAGACACGAACAGAGTGAACCACACGAAGCTCCTGGCTCCAGCACATGCTTTAGTTTCACCAGGGCAGCAGCATCTGTGCCCCTGCACTCTGCCTCCCTCCCACAACCTGCTGCAGGGCAGGAATTTCCTGGGATCACCAAGGTCCACACTGGACAGCAAGGCACCCTGGGGTGCCAGGGCAACTTGGAGATGATGACCTTTCACTAAAGCCTGCTCATATTTCCAGCTCAATTACCTCAGTCAGGTCCTTAAAGCAATGAATGACTCTTCCCTTCGCCCCAGAGAAGAAAGTGTCCACGTTGTCACCTTCCTCCTCTCAGCTCCCCTGGCCTTGCTACATCTGCAGCACAGGAACCATGGTCTTTCTGGGCTGCTGCCCTGCTGTGAAGACCCACAGAAGACAGTAAGCACCCTCACTGTGCCACAGCAGCCCCCAGCTCACTGCTCCCCAAGGCAGCCCCTGGCTGCAAAGGTAACACTGGTTGGACCACTCAGGGTCCCAGACACCAACTCATGCTCTCCCTCACAGTGACAGAGGCTGAAGCAGTTGAGGGGATGTTCCCCACACCCTGTAGAAGGCACAACAGCCTCACACTTGCCTCTCCAGGTCAGCAGTCTTATTTTCCCTGCAAATCACCTAGCAGGGGTAAAAGCTAGAAAAACTCATGAGTTAAGATAAAGACAGTTTAATAGAGAAGGCCAGTGTGTGAGCTGCTGTGGTGTTCTTGGTTACTAGCTGGAGTTAAACCATGACACTCTGCAAGGTAATTAGTGCCAACACTGTGCTCTACTCTCCTCTTTGGTGGTGGCTGGACTAAGCCAAGGTAACATGATTCTTTCAGGGCAGGGGATGGAACAGCTTATTATTTACCCTTCCCCTTTAGAAAGGTACAAAAGATTCATTTATGCAATAAAAGCAAACACAAGCCTGTAACACCTACCTTCACTAAGGCATTGCCACAGCTCCTCCACCTTCCAGCATGCCTCCCAGCCAAGGAACAGCAGCCTCCACAAGCTATTTCAGCTTTGTCTGTCATGAGTGGGAGGTGGCACGGGGCTTTTCCCCCAGACAGAGCAGTGAAGCAGCACACAGGGACAGGGACTCCACACCAGAGTGAAGCAGAGAAATGTGAAAATACTGTCCAGAAAACCATTAAGTTATGCTAAGCTCTAAAATGGACCAGTGGCAGGACTGGTGTCCAACCTCATCACAGTCAGAGCAACACGGCTACAGATTTACTTCCTTGGAAAACAGCCCTGTGTTTAATATTCATTGTGCCATACAGAGTCCCCTTCCATCAGCTGCTAACAGAAAATGACATCTGAAATCACTGCATATTAAATGAATGATCAGCACAGAGCACAGTGTCCTGAAGGGAAGCCAGGTCCATAGTGCAGAGAAATGTGTTCATTTCAGCCAGTTAAAAAGAAACACCTGAAGAAAGCGAACTGAATCCTGGGCTGCATCCAAAGGACTGTGGCTAGCAGGTCAAAGGAGGTGATTCTCCCCCTCTACTCTGCTCTTGTGAGATCCCACCTGGAATACTCCATGCAGTTCTGGTGCCTTTAATGTAAGAAGGGCATGGAACTGTTGGAGCAAGTCCAGAGGAGACCACAACGCTGATAAGAGGACTGGAGCATCTCCTCTATGAAGACAGGCTGAGGAATTTGGTGCTGTTCAGCCTAGGGAAGAGAAGGTTCTATAGAGACCTCAGAGCACCTTATCTGAATGGAATGGACTCCAGGAAAGCTGGAGAGGCACTCTTTGTTAGGAGCTGCAGTGACAATGGGTACAAACTGAAAGAGGGGAAATTTAAGTTAGATATTAGGAAAAAGCCTTTTCCTGTGACGGTGGTGAGACCCTGGCCCAGGTTGCCCAGGGAGGCTGTGGCTGCCCCAACCCTGGCAGTGTTCACACCCAGGTTGGATGAAGCCTTGAGCAACCTGGTGTGGTGGGAGATGTCCCTGCCCATGGCAGGGGATTGGGACTAAATGATCTATAAGGTTCATTCCAACCCCTAAAAGTCTACGATTCTGTGAACATAACCCCAGCACACACCTCATCACAACATTCCCAGAGAGTACAACAACAACTTGTGCAGGACCAGGTCTTCCCCAGAGCTCAGTGCAGCCAGGGCTGCACTTTTGCCAAATAACCACTCCACGTCAGGCTGGGCAGCCTCGTAGTGTGCCAGCTTACCTCTCATGGCAGGCAGCAAGAATTGACTGGGAAAGGATGGTGCCACTGCAACCTCCTCTGGCAGGCTGCACATCGAGGCACGAGTGCAGGACAGCATGAGCAACTACTCTCTGGCACACCCTTGGAAGGAGAGCGAGGGGCAATGCCTGGACCAGCAGCATTGCTGGTCTCTGCCAGCTCACACAGTGGGAACGAACCACCTGTGTCTGATGGGTGAAATACCCTAAGCAGGAAAGAAGGGTCCCTTTCCCCCATGTCCCCAGATAGCAGCACCTTTTAATGCTGGCCATTGGCATAGCCCACACATGCTTGAATATGTTTCAGCATCCCCATGTGGGCAGAGGATGGTTGAAAAACAGGACTCAGCTCCCACACATTCCTCATTTCCTCCCTGCTGTGTTATTCAGGTGCCAGGAACAAAATTATGTGTAACCTCAATTTCTTCCAAAGGAGAAACCCTAAGCATGTGCCAAACCTGCCTAGTTGTGCACTAGCAAATATCATTCTCAGCAGCTGCCTTTAGGTTAACTTGTCCTCTCCAGGGATGTCCCTGATGTTTGTATCTTCAAGTCAGGAGACCTCTGTGCGCAGTGAGACCAGCGCCTCTAACAAAAGAACAAGGAAGGCAAACATCAGCCTCCCCCACAGCACCACAGCAGTTTAGCCAAAGTAAAATGCCAAGAGCAATAGGAAATACAACCTAAGTTCTTTGTGGGAAATGTAGAAACAAATTATTTGACAGTTAATTGCTCCAAAGCCAACCTTCCTCTCCACAGCTCTGTTCTCTGTTGCTGCTATGACCAGCGATTCCAAATCTGAGCAGTCAACTCCAGCTGGCAACAACAGCCATCTCTGTCAGCCCATGTTTTCCCAAATAAACAGAAAGCATCCAAGAGGCAGTTGGTAATTGCCCACACCCATTTGTCTTCCATTTTTAAGGTTTGCATAGGAAGGCTTTCAGCTACAAAAAACCCTCGTGGTGCATCGGATTCACAAAGCTAATAAAAATGTTTCCAGCTTCACAGCTGACCCCAGCCAGAACCAGCCCACCTTCTCAAAAGCTCACACTGTGGTTTTCCAGTCCCTCTTGACACACTCACACACCAGCATTGCAAAAACCCTGTCGAGGTGTGCTCCTGCTGCCAGCTAATATGGGTCAGGGTGCAGAGCTGCAAAGGGTTCACATCAGCACTGCCCTGGTGTGTCTTGAGAATTTCTCTCAATGCAGGCTTATCTCCAGTTCCATTTTTATGTCTAAGTCTGCTGAGACTGTCAGCTGTTTGCTCTGCTTTTATTACCATTGCCCCACTATACACCCTCAGCCAATTAAGCTTCCATTCCTCTAATGTACACTCTTCAATTACAGCAGGCAGCTCACCAAACATATACTGATGCTTGCTCAAGGTTCATTTAATGTGGACATCTCAATTTCATCTGCCAAGCAAAGTTACAGGCTCTTCCTGAAGTTCCTTTCAGCAGAGAACATGAATGTAAGGAAGGACGAAATGACCACATTAACAGAGCCATACATCTTTTTTAAGACTAAAGCATGCAGATGCGTTTCAAAGCCATAAGACAGAACAACACTCCTGCATTTCACAGCACTAGTCCATTGAATTATTTCAGAAAATAGGTACAAAGCCAGAAGCACTGGGAGAAGGAGGGCACTGTTCAAAACATAGAGCAAGTAATAAAGAATTGCTGCCAGTCAGCAACAATCTAAGGGGAACAAACACAGTTTGTCTTTTGGGGTAGCCCACTATAGCTCTCTGTTGCTTTTAAAAGCAAAAATAACCACAGTTACTTGATACCTAATCACTATAACGGAGTGGATACAAACCAGCACATTACATAACCTGCCACCCACAAGTCACAAATGCCAACGT